CCACCCCTTTCTTTGGCATCCTGTAGAGCAGTGGTTCTCAACCTTTTTAATGCCGTGACCCCAACCGGTCATAAGTCGAGGACTAAACCGGTCGTAAGTCGAGGACTAAACCGGTCGTAAGTCGAGGACTAAACCAGTCGTAAGTCGAGGACTACCCAACCGGTCGTAAGTCGAGGACTTTCCCTGCCCAGGAGCACCGTGCATGCGTGGTTCCGCCCCCTGTGCCGGCTGAGGCGTAGCTGGCAAGCGGCAGAGACGGAGCAGGCCGACCACCAGCTGGCCCAGCCCAAGGGAGGTAAGGCACCTGCCGGAAAAGGGGAAAAATGGTGGACAAAAAAAAATGGCAGACAAAAAAAATGGCGGACAGCCTTGCTTGGTGACCCCCGTGAAATGGTCGATCGACCCCAAATGGGGTCCCGACCCACAGGTTGAGAACCACTGCTGTAGAGCCTTTAATTTTATTCTATCCTTCTTACCAGACCACACAAATTCTAAGATTATTTTATTTAACTCCTTGAAAAATTTCTTGTCTAGTTGAATTGGGATATTCTGAAACAAAAATATCATTTTGGGTAGGATGTTCATTTTTACTGCTGCAATTCTCCCGAGTAATGAAAGACATTCTAGATCTACTTTAATATTCTGTACCAATTTACCATAGTTGTCATCTTTGATTGATGAGCAGCGTGCTGAAATAACTATCCCTAGGTATTTTAACTTGGAAACTACTTGTATGCCTAATTTTGCCTTGAGGTTTCCTTTTTGTATGTTAGTCATATTTTTTGTAATGATCTTTGTTTTATTTTTATTTATTTTTAAGCCTGCACGATCCCCGTACTCTTCCAGAATTTTGAATAGTTTCTGCCCTGAATGTTCTGGGTCTTCTAATATAAATGCTAGGTCATCTGCATAAGCCTGAAGTTTATATGTTTCTTTCTTAAGATTAAGAAAGTCCTTTATTTATTTATTTTATTTTATTTTTAAGACTTATATGCCGCCCTTCTCCCCACGGGACTCAGGGCGGCTCACAGCATATTAAAACAACATAGTACATTTCCCCAATAAAAGCCAATTAAAAACCAAATATTTGTAGCTGTGTCTCTTATTAAAATCATTAAAAATTATCCCTATTTAAAATTCACCCTAGGTCAGTCCCNTTTTCCCTGGCTTCCATTAATTTTAATTGTTGGATCATAAATTGCCAATTAACATTGTCAAAAGTCTTCTGTGCATCGAGAAACAGAAGTGCCACTTGCCGATCACTATGTGATTCGTAAAATTCGAGGATGTCTAGAATTGTTCTTATATTCCGTTTAGTCTGCCTGTTTGGTAAGAACCCATTTTGGTCTGGATGTATAAAATCAATTAGGTACTTTTTGAATCTCTCCGCCATTATTGAGGCGAAAATTTTGTAATCCGAATTCAATAGTGATATAGGTCTATAATTTTGTATCCTTGTTTTTTCCGCTTCTTCTTTTGGGATCAATATTATATTTGCCTCTGACCAAGACTTAGTATTTTAGCTTCGGTTAGTACTGCGTTAAAGACCTCTAATAGGTATTGATTAAATACACTTTGTTGCTCTTTATATAATTCTACAGGTATTCCATCTGGGCCTGTCGCCTTATTAATTTTTTGTTTATTTATAGCTCTAATTATTTCAGTCATGCTTATTTCCTCATTTAACATACCTAGTTTTTATTTCCTCCGGTATCTTCGGTATGTCTACCTTTTCTAAGTATTCTATTATCCATTCAGCACTTCTTCCCTCATTTCTCTTATATAGATGCGTAATATCTCTGAGCAATTCCCCTTTTTATAATCTCCTCCCCCTGAATTTCTCCTTTTTCATCTTCCAAATTGATGATCCATGACTTCTCTTTCTGCCTTCTTAATTTATACGCCAACCATCTTCCTGGTTTATTTGCGTGCTCAAAGTTATTTTGCTTGGCTGCCTGTAATTTTTGTGCTAACTTTTCCGATTCCTCTATACTGAGTTTGTGTTTAATTAAATCCATTTTGTTTTTCAATCCTTTGTTTTCAGGGTCTCTCTGGAATAGTGTTTTGGCCTGTTTGTATTCTTCCTCAAGCCTCATCCTATATCGCTTTTTCTCTTTATTTCTCTTAGCCATGTACGATATTGCGACACCCCTCGTGTAAGCTTTAGCCGTGTCCCAGAGGTTCTGCAGGGATGTGTCCTCATTACCATTCGCTTGAAAGAAAAGATGCATTTCTTTCTCCATGGTTTCCTTAAATTCTTTTTCTTTAAGAATCCCTCTTTGGAAAGTCCATCTTGGCCTGCTTCTTTGACCTTTCAAGCGAAAACTTATTGGATTATGATCTGCCCAGAAGCTGGATTCTATGTCTATTTCTAGTATTTCCGAGGCTAATTCTTTTGAAACCATAACATGTCTATCCTAGTCCACGATCTATGTCTGTTAGAAAACTATGTGTATTCCCTCTTATCATGATTCCTTTCCCTCCAAACATCATGTAAGCTAAGATCTGAACACATCTCAAAAAAAGTTTTGGGAAGTGTTTTTTTTTTATTTCCTTTCCTTGCCTCTGTGCTTTTATGGTCTTTTGTTTTATCTGCAATAGCATTGAAGTCTCCGATTATACAGAAGCCATCTCCCTCTATATCACTCAGCTTATTATGAAGATTTTTAAAAAAGGATACTTGAGCTCCATTTGGGGCATATATTACAACAATAATTATGTTTCTTTTATTCAATTTAGCCTCAACAATCAAAACCCTTCCCTCTTTATCTTTATAGATTTGTTTCGAAGTTATTTTCTGCTTAACATACAGGGCTGCTCCTCTTTTTTTCCCCTCGTCAAGTGAAGCATATAGTCTACCTAATTTAGGTTGTTCTAAAAGGTATTCTTGATCTTTTTTTTATATGAACCTCCTGTAAGGCAGTAATATCCGCATTTAATTTGGTAAGCTTATGAAAAACTTTCCGGCGCTTTGCTGGTGCATTCAACCCTCTAATATTGGTTGACCAAATCCTATACTCCTCTCCCATTGTCTTGTTTTTGTCGTGTCTTTGTGCTTCTTGTGATTCTTATTTCCTTCACCGCCTCTGAGTTTCTCCCCTGTTTTCCTAACCTATCTTGACCGCTTCTCCCTCTCACTTCCTCCATGCTTTGCTCAGTCTCTCTATTCTCCGACATTCTCTCAGTATATCTTCTTTTTTCAAGCATATCTCTTTCTATGCCAAGGTCCCTCAGGTCTTCCTCTGAGGCACAGTATTGCCTGTAGAAATCTTTCGCTTTCTCTACTGTATCCAATCTAAACCTCTTATCCTGCCAGGTCACGATAAGCCCCTCTGGTGTTAACCATCTAAAATTTACATTGCTTTGATGTAACTTGGATGTCTGGAAGAGGTAATTCTTTCGGAGGTCTCTCATCCTTTTTGGTATTTGTTTTAACACTATGATTTGTTTCCCTCCGTAGCTAAATATAATTGAATTTGGGGAATTGGCTGGCTTCTGGATGTCCAGCCTAGACCTCAGGAGACCTCCCAGGCCTAGAACGGCCTACCGGAAGTGTATGATGCCACTTCTGGAAGTCCGTTCTAGGCATCGGAGGCCCAGTCCTGCATCACATAATAGAACCGGCTGTTCAGGTATTGGAATCCCACCACTGACTATATTTAAACCCGTTAAGAATGGAGTTTTAATTGATATTGTCACCCCTATTATGATGGTTCTCTACATGGATTAATATCTTAAATATGGATGGGACAATTGTGTTTTTTTCTACTGTTTACTGATAGGACAAGTTGTGCATGAACATTTATTTTACATCAGCATATGAATAGTGTAGGATTGGAGACATGGGTCCACATTAAAAAGGGGCATTGGTAAAACTATGATTTCTTTTTTGTTTCTCTTGACTAAAGTCTCCATTTCCCTTTTTGTTTTAATACTTTTGTTCTCTTCTTGTTCCTTCTTTTACACTGCACAAAATCAACTGCTTGTACAAACTATAAAATAAAATGTAAGTTTTTCTACTGGGCTCTCTTCTCTACTTTCTTAGAGAGACCCCTCTTTATTAAAGTATTCTAATGAATTGCCTTTAAATGATCTTCCAACTCAGTTGTTTATTGGAGAAGGCACAATCTGAGGCCAGATTTTGGCCATCAGTCTGTCTGTGAAAAATTGTTGGAGGGGGTTAAAAGAAGAAGACAAAATTCCTATGAAAAGGGAGCTACATTTCCTCTTCTCTGAAAATGAGGGGCTAGGCCCTGTAGATTTGCCAATAATAATATATGATATTTATGTCCTGCTGTACTCTCAGTGACTCAGATGGCACAAAAGTGCTGCGAAAATTAAGATCCTAGCAAGGCGTTTCTCAGCCTTGGCAACTTAATGATGTGAAATTCAGAACTTCAGAATAACAGAATTGAAAGGGACCTTGGAGGTCTTCTAGTCCAACCCCCTGCTCAAGCAGAAGACCCTATACCTTGGGTGGCGAACCTATGGCACACGTGCCAGACTGGGCACAAAGAGCCCTTTCTGTCGGCACGTGTGCCAGAGGGATGCTCCCCTCCCCCTCTCCACGTGCACCTGACTAGTGGTTCTCACCCACCTCAGGAGCCAGTTCCAGCCCTGCCCCTCCTCTCTTGTAAATCCCACCCAGCTGATCCCTCCCTTGAGGCTGTTCCTTCTCCTCCTTCCCTGGGCTGATCTTGTCTGATCCCCCAGCCTGGACGGTGGGATTCTTCCTCTGGGGTCCCTCCCAGGCTGACACTGCCTGCTTTTTCCCTCCTCTCTGCAGCATGAGTGGACACTCCCAGCATGAGGAGAGACGAAAAATGTCAGGGAATTATGCAGCCAATGTCCAAATGGAGTCAGAGATGCTGACACAAACTTATGGTTTCATATAAATAAATATATTTTACATTTATACTTACAGCAAACAAGATAGCCAGGCATATCACTACATCGTGAGGTAAACTGTCAGGTAAATCACTGAAGAGCATAACAGAGCACACAAAAGGAAAAAGGCGGGAAAAAGGGAAACACCCCTTTTAAACCCAGCAACCAATCATAATGCAGATTGCTTCATGCAGGAGCCCTGCGTTCTCCAGCCAATCAACTACAACTGTGTTTTCTGACCCATTGTACAATTTTATCTTCCAGCTATTAAATTAAATGTCTTAACGAAAGAAAAAGGGATCAACCTTCTTCTGAATTAGGCTGGACTCTTAGGGCTCCTTTAGGCCTTTCCAGCATGCTGGAACCAGGATATATTTGATTTTATCGATTAATCAATAGCACTAATATGATGACTGAGGATCAGAGCAATAAAGAAAATGTTGTGCATTTCTAATTGCAGAATCGAAAGGATTCAAACTGGATTTTAGTACTGTAGATATAGTTTGTAATAATTATGTTGTTATTTTTGATCGTCACAGTGAGCTTTTGCTGATGAACATGGAGAAATGGGGAACAGGATTTCAATGACAAATATGAGTGTCATCTGGGCAAATCTAGGAGGGGCTTAACATGAGACATTACTGAATTCTGGACCAGTCGTAACTTTTTAGGTGGTCTTCAAGGGCAGCCCCATGACAAGCACAGTGCAGTTATGCAAATAAGGACTGATCAAAGTGTGAGAGACCATGACCAAGGCCTCCTGGTCCAGGAAAGGGTGTAATTGCTGCACATGATGAATTTGGGCAAAGCCCCTACCCCAAGCCATGAATGCCACCTGCTCTTCAAGCAGAAGCCTTGAGAGCAGGACGATCCCCGAATTGCGTATCTGGGGGAGCACAATACTATCCAGAGTCAACCCACCAGCTTTGGGGTGTGTGTGCAAAACACCAATGCCACTCGGTCATGCCAGAGTTGAGTTGAATTTGGTTCTTCCTTATCCAGACCCTCATAGCTTCCTGGCACTTCAGTCAGCACCAGAACAGCATCATCTTTCTAGCTAGGGGTGAAGAATAGAATAGAATAGAATAGAATAGAATAGAATAGAATAGAATAAGATCTGCCCCTCGGGGATGCTGGACTCCAAAGTGCAGCTGCTGAATGGATGGTCTCCCTCCATAATGATAGCGCCTCCTAGCTGTGGAACTATGACTTCATGGCAGCCTTTCACCAACAGTTCGAAGACCCAGAGCACAAGGTTCAAACCCAGATCAACACCCTCACCCAAGGTTGTCGGTTGGTAGCCACATATAGCCAGGAGTTCCGAGAGTTGGCATGCTGGCTGGCCACATGGCCTGAAGACATCCTGATCGATTGCTTCAAAGATTGTCTCAATGACGGCTAGCACACCTGCATCTCACATGGAGCCCCATACATCCTACATGTCAAGGGGATGATTTAAGAGCTGGCCAGCTGATGCAATGATGGGAATGATGGGAATGAATTCAGCAGGGTTTTTGGCTGTTCTCTTTAAGAGCCTGTGTAAAAAGGGGGAGGCTCTGCTAGTGCCCCCTTCCCATCCCTTTCCTGCTGTACTTGATGTTTGTTGGATTCTGCTTGTTCTGGATCATATAGCTCTATGTAACCCTAACTAGAGAGCATGTATCTGTATGTTAGAATATCTGGCATTTATTCATGAAAGTGTTGTTTCCTTAAGAGATGGATTATGGGAAATGCAGTTTAGCTAGTCAGTCATCTCATGTTAATGGGTCAGTGGGAGGAGTTTATGAGTTCTTCTCAGTATATACTGGCTACGTGCCCAGTTTGGAATGCCTTTGTTCATCCAGTCTCTTGGGTCCTAGCCACAAGGCTTGGAGATCCTATG